GAAGATGCTTGTTGAGTCTAACCCAAGGCAACACACTCATGAAATGGCCCTGAAATTGCATGTATTTCACGAAACAATACATACGGGTTTAAGGAATATGGGAAAACTCCATAAAGAAGGTGTTTGGGTGCCTCACGAACTCTCCGACGATCATCGTTTCCAACGTTTGAACGTTGCTTTATCTCGTCTGGTATGTAATGCACGTGAACCATTTCTGGACAGAACTGTCACCAGTGATGAAAAATGGATTCTCTATGTGAATATTAAACACCAAAAACAATGGTTCAGTCCTAGACCAAAACCACTTTTGACCCCCAAACCTGGACTCCATCTGCAGAAAGTGATGCTTTGCATTTGGTGGGACATCAAAGTAGTAATTCATTTCAAACTCCTCAATCCACAGCAAATTGTCAGTGCAGAGATCTGTAGTCAGCAACTGGAACATTTAAATCAAGCCTGTTATTCTTCAATCGGAAAGGTGTTCTTCTTCTCCATGACAATGCATGTCCACATGTGGCACGTTTGACGCATCACAAGATTATGAAGTTGGGTTGGGAAGTTCTCCCCCACCCACCATATTCTCCAGATGTGGCACCATCAGATACCATCTTTTTCATTCGCTGCAACACCATCTTAAATGGAAAAACGTATGCAAATATGGAAGGTGTTAAAAAGGACATCAAGGTGTTTTTGCTTCAAAGCCAAATGATTTCTTTATTCAGGGCATTAACAATCTGATTGTAAGATGGAAAAGCATCATCAATAAGAATGGAGACTATTTCATTTAATAATTGTTTTTTTTTATATATAGTGACATTAATTTCTTGATGACCTAATACTTTGTCAAAATAAAAACAACAACAATAAGTTTGCACTTTATTGAAAGGTGGCAGTTGGTGCTACCAGCCAGTTGCTATTCTTCTAGTCAGCAGTTCAAAATCAGTGATAGTGGCAAATAGCCTTAATAGCTTTGCAATAACAAAGAGAGAATGGGTAACTTTAACGGCAATGGGATTAACAACCGAAACCCTCTAATCACGAAGCATCCCTCCACCCGCCCATTATGTAGCTTTGCCCTTAGTAACAAATGTAGTGGTGATATTTCAATTAGTTGAATATTCGGAATATTCAAAAACAGTAAGTAATCAAAAATCTTAATTTTGGCTAGTTGATTATTTTCATTACAATTGATTTAATCATAATTTTCGGCCCAGGTGGCTAGGGCGCTCAACTCGCACTCTGCGGGTCGCAGGTTCGAATCCCCGTCACACCAAACATGCTCGTCCTTTCAGCCATGAGGGCATTATAATGTGACGGTCAATCCCACTATTTGTTGGTAAAAGAGTAGACCAAGAGTTGGCGGTGGGTGGTGATGACTAGCTGCCTTCCCTCTAGTCTTACACTACTAAATTAGGGACGGCTAGCGCATATAGCCCTCGTGTAGCTTTGCGAGAAATTCAAAACAAAACAAAAACAAACTAATCATAATTTTGACTAATCAATTGTTGAGTAATTGAAAACTGTAATAATTGGTGGTTATAGTGCTTGACACTTATTCTGCGGGTTCAAATCCCCATCCAACCAAACGTGCTCGCTCTCCCAGCTGTGGGGATGTTATTATGTGAGGGTCAATCCCACTATTTGTTGGTAAAAAAAGAAGCCCAAAAGTTGACGGTGTGTGGTGATGACTAGCTGCCTTTCCTCTAGTTTTTCATTGCTAAATTATATATGGCTATCAAATATAGCCATTGTGTAGCTTTGCACTAAAATCAAACCAAACTTTTCGTGACAATCGATTTAATCGTAATTTCGATTAATTGATTGTTAAAATAATCGAAAGCTGTGATAATCAGAAACTAATTTCAATTGGTTGATTATATATTTGTGACATTAATCCATTAGTTAATGGGACGCTAAAGATGTAATTTTTGCTCTCATGTAATCGATTAAGTCACCCAACACTAGTATTGACATAATATGTATGTGTGATCAGTGATTATTGAGTTGATGATTAGTGGTTATTATTTAGCAGTGGTGACTTAATTTACAACAATCAGTCATTTTCATTAGTAATATTAACATAATATAGAGTAATTTTCATTATTGATTAATAGTCTTCAGTTCATATTTTTTGAATGATCAGTAGTGTTGACTCGATATATTTAGATCAATCACTCATTATGAATGAGTATTATTGGCTAAGTACGCCATTGTTATAGACTTAGTGTATTTTAGACAATCAGTGATTGTTGATTAGCAATTTAGCTTTTTTATTTATAATAATTATTCTTATTAATCTGAATCAATGATTTAATGTAGTACGGAGTCATTATTGTTGACTACTATGACTGAGCAAGAACATTTTATTTTAGTGGAAGCCCTCCATCTGGGTCACTTAATGGCAGCTCATGGTTATTTCTTCTCTATTGATGATCATGTTTTGACTCTCAAAGCTGATGGAACCTACTACAGGTTTCAGGTAGTGTGTTAATTTTTCAATTTTTTTTCCATTTGAAGTCCAATCAAATGATTCAAAGTCTTACAGATCAACATAGTTAATACCTATACATGTACATCTTATTACAGACTGTCTTCACCTGCCTTCAAAATTTCTTGTTATACAATCTCAAGTATACAAATATTTATCTGCTCTTCTGATTGGTTTATTAATATTCAAGCTTCCAAGACAATGTTTCACCTTTTAACACAGAATAACTGGATCCCTTCCTCATCTGCATATGAGACTTGCATGCCACTAGGTTTGAGCAACTTCCATCTATAAATCCCATATATAACGTGAATTTTGAAAGTGCATGGTGACATCATTATGCAACAATAGCTCTCCATCAGTAGGAGGGCGACACAACCTCCTTGTGTATTAACTCACCCTAAGTGCTTGTGCTCGAAATAACTTCATTCTCTTCCTTAGAATTGTCTATAAATGGACCTAATTTTAAAATTATTAACCAACTACTTGCGAATTGTGATAGTTTACGATACTTACATTTCTGGCATCTTTCATTACTAAACGAAAAGAGATAACTTTTACCTGCTTATTCTACTTTGTCCTGTAATGGTGACGATATTACTAACATAGGACCTGTGGCTACTGGGAGCTAGTTCCCTGTGGAGGATGTGATAGCCATTGTTCAACGAGTTGTGGGTTCCCTCATATATACTAGACCTCTATCTCCTGTCTCTTTGGCTGACGTTCCTTCTTCCCAATTTTAACATGATCAGGAAGATGATGATTTTGACCAACTGTTCCCCCACCAAGGTTTGCTCTAGGTACTGCTTTATCTGTTGAGGGGAATCCTCAACCTTCTAATCTCTATCTTGAACTGATATTGCAGTTGTGTACTTTTCTTTCTTATTCTCCAATATTTTTTGATTTCTCCCATCTTTACTATGCAAAACCTATACTCAAGATTACATTGATATTACTTTAGATATTAGGCACCATATGGACTAATTTCTTAAACAACTGCAAACCCATACTCGCATGCCTCATCCTCCTCATCTACTTGAATCTTTTGCCTTGGCTTGTTTCCATTTTTAATTTCAGTTCCTTGTTACCCAGTCATTGGAATCTTTTTTTACTTGCTTGGAGGGGTAGACCCCTCAACTTCTATTTCACTTTCTAGTGTCAAATGTTCATGTCTTCATCTCCTCCTTACCACCCTCCTACATTACCTCTCGTTACTTCATTTTATTTCTGAGGCACTTTAGTATGCTCTTGAAGGGTTTCCTGGAGAAGTTCATTCTCTTCTTTTCACCACTTTATCCCTTACTACTACTTATGCTCTGTTTCTCCTTACCTGGTTCTTCTGCTGTTGGCATTTGTTTGGTCGGAATGCTCTCTTAACTAATGTTTGCCTTCCTCACTCCTTATCTTCATGATTGTTGTTGTCTTCTTTGGTTTTTCATCTTTCTCTACCCCACCTTTTTTATCCTGCTGCTAGGCCTGCTGAATCCATGTCTCCCCTTCTCCTTCTGCTTCCTGATCTTTTCCTTCCCATCCTCCCACTTCACAGTGTCAGGGTTGTTGCTTGTCTCATCAGTGACTATCCTGTTGGGTCTGGACCAATGGTTGCTCATCTGTCTCACTTCACCTGCTTTGGTTCTCTATTTTTAGCTGACAGATGGGTTCTTCAGGTTCTCACTCATGACCTGTATCTTCACTTCTCTTTTTCCCCTCTTCCTGTTTCCTTTTCTCCTCCCTCTTACCCCATTTATCTTCACTATCACCAGGATAGGATGCAGTCACAGATATCTTGGCCAAGAATGCCATCAAGAAAGTATTTACACCTATCCCAAAATATTATTCTTATCTCTTTGTAGTCTCCCCAAAGACTGGAATTGTCATCTGGTTATCTACGTGTTATCTCATGGTTTTGGATGGAAGGTTTCATTTCTATCTAGTAGTCCTTTTCACCCAGTCTTCTGGCCCCTGGTTCCTCATTCTTTAACCTTCTTTAACTCAGGACTATCATCCATTTTTCTTCACATACAGAAATTGTCTGGACTCTCTTACCTTGTAGCTTTTTATTATCCTATTCCTGTTGTTTTTCAACTCTGTCTTTCAATCAGTAGAAGAGGTGGGTTTTCAATGCTCTCAGGCACTACTGGTGTCATCTTTTTCTGTATGGCTATCCTCCTCTTTGTCTCCTCCCTCACATCTTTACTTGGCTGTATGGTGATGCCTCTTTGATCTGCACAACTCTGGCTTCCTCTGTTTCATTAGTTATTGTCCAAGCACCCTTTTCCTCTATCCCATGCTTCTTCTCTCATGCTCCAACCTCACATGTGTCTCCTTTTTTTCACTCAAGGAGGGCTGTTCCTTCATCATCACATGTAGTAGAATTTGTCCAGTCCACCACCCACAGGGCAAGACTATGATTGTGTAGCCGTCTTCTTATCCCATTCCCATTTTCCTTTAACTTTGTTTGTCTGTCAATGGAAGTGGTGAGTTTTTCAACATTGGCCCATCCACCACTGTTCTTTAGACCTTTCTGTTGTGGCCCACCTTTTTGCCTTTATTTGTATGGTTGTTCAACCATGGATTGTCAGTTTCCACCATAGCTGGTTTTTGGTGGCTTTGTCAACTACATGTGTTTTCTTCCTCTGCCCTCTCACTTTGTTCTAATTATTTCTTCACCACTGACTCCCTGATACAACTCTCATGCCTGACTGGGACCTTAAATGGGTTTTACATGCTCTCACACCTGCTACATTCAAGCTGTTGGCTTTATGTTCTTTATACCGTCTTTATCTGAATAACATACTTCTTTTTCCTTCTTGTCTGTAGTCACCATCATTCAGATGTACATTCCATCAATGCTTCCCACACATTCTTTCATCATTCTCATTTACTTCTCTACCCATACTGGATTTTCTTCTTAAGACTTCAGCTGCTTGGAAGAGTGATCATGCTTTCTGTTCTATCTACCTCCAGTCTATTTCTCACCTCTACGCTCGTTCAGTTTGCTCAGTGTTGTGTGGCATGAACATCTCCTTTTTGGGGGTTCTCATCATCGTTTGTTTCTGCTTTGGGACATCCTTCATCCAGGGATGTCTTGCCTCCTACCCTTACTGAATGGGTCTGCCAACTTCTCTGAATGGGTGCATTCTTTCTTGGATATTGATGCTTGCAGGCTTTTTCACATTTTGTCAAATTCATCACATCTTTCACTCTCTTGTGTCTCAGTTTTGCTAACTCTTGGACAAGACCCTTCAGGCTGGGATGTGGATAAATCCACACATATTTGTATCCCATTATCTTCATCATCTGGCTGTTTTGTCTCCAGTGGGATTTCAACTCATTCCAGCCACCATTCTTTAATCTACACACCATCTTTGAGAAAGGAAAGTACATTTTTTTTTCATCACCCATATCCTCTTATAGGATCCTGCCAAGTGGCTGGTGTTGTCTCTCAGGAGTAACAAAGTGCTCAACCCAACTGTCTTGGTTCTAGCAGTGCCCATTGTTGAGTGGAGGTGTTTCACAGAAACATTAGAGGTATCCTCATGGTACTAAATTTACTCAGTTGCCCAACCCAGACTGTATTATTCCATGGAAAAAGCTGGCACCAAGGAAGTGACTGCCCACTTCTTTGTTTCACGCTTGCCAGCTTTTAAAAATAGGGTTTTGCAATCACCCAGTGCACTCTCTCCAGTAAAATATCTTTTCAATGAGGAACTGAACACTTCTCTGAGTCTTCCCCTTTCTTTAAGTGGAGCACAGGAGACCCTTGCAATTTACCTGTTCGTAGCTGTGGTGTATTTGACCATGGAGAGTTCCTCATTGATTATGTACAGCAAAATAGAGTGGGAAATAGGGCAGTAGTTGCACAGTCTATGCAGTTTGGGTTACCCCTCAAACAGCTAATGTGCCTTCCTCCTACAACATAATGGATTTATCAACCTCATCTCCGTTCACTTAAGTTAAGGTAAATTGTACACTGTATGGTTTGATTGAGCCTTAACCACACTGCACTTCTTAGCTCACAGATCATTTATGTGCAGGTGCTTTTTTTTGTCATGTAAAGATTATTCTCATCTTTGTAACACTTGGGATGTTTTGCCTTTCCCTCCCTTTCCTTTTGGAAAAATAGTATACCCTGATCAAGAGGAGATGCAGTGTGACCCTGTGGAGTCCCTGCTATTTGGGTGTCACACTCCATACACTACATGGGCATTCCTTTTGGGTGGTCACTAAAGGGAGCTCATTTAGGTTTAATGTTTTCACTAACCCCTCCACAATTTCAGTGTGGAATTCTAGCTAGTTTTTGTGAGAAGGTGAGGTATCTTCGCAGAAGTTAATGTTTTCTTTACCTGAAAGTGTATTTCCCATAGATACTCACCTTCCCACCTGTCATCCCCTCTTCCAGTGCACTTTCTTTTTACCTGGTCTAAGAATGAAGTTACTTTGAACACAAGTGCTTTGGAGGAGTTATTTTGTAAAGAGGTTGTGTTCCCCCTCATTAGTGGAGATCTATCTTTGCATGATATCATCTTACACTAGCACAGGTTGCACTAAACACGTGATTTTAGGTGGGAGTTAACTCAAGGTTAGAGGCATGCAAATCTCATGGGCAGATGTGAGAAGGATTAAGCTGTGTGGAGAGATGAGTGTCTATCAGAAATACATTTCCAGGTAAGAAAAATGTTAAATTTCTTAGAGTTCAATTGAATATTTAACCAAATATGTCTATTAAATCTAATAAGTTGTGTTTAAGTTACATTTACTAATTAGCTACTCTTAATCAGTTCTATAAAACTTGGTAACTGACATAGTCATTGTTCCAAGATTCTAAATATACAATAATGAACTTTTTCACCCATTAGTAGAATATGTTTGTAAAACTGGTTGCAAATTTTGAAAAATTTAAAGTGTATTCTTGCTCTTTTGGTGATTAAATGAAACGTTTTTTTAAAAGTGTCAAGTTACTGGAGCTCTTTTTTTTTTTTTTCTAGTAACAAATATACAGTACTTTTTTTAAACAATAATATAGTCAATATTTGTATTTTTTTTACTTTTTCAATTTCACACCCTTTTTTTTTCTTTTAGTTTTTATGTTTCATCAATGTTATTATAAATAAGTATTTCTTTAATGTTCACATTTCAACAGACCCCTTATTTTTGGCCCTCAAACTGCTGGGAACCTGAAAACACAGATTATGGTAAGTTTTTTGATTCTTCGAAGCCATTCATTGTAATTCACAAACAAATTAATTCCCTTAAAATAACAGTTTTATGTACAGAAATAACATAAACAGTAATCTAGACTATTTCCAAAAAAGTTATAGCATAGTTTGCAATAATAATGCTTCTTAATTTTTTATTTTTCATAAATTAGTTTTCCAAAAATCATGCACAAATTAATTATTTACAATATATGGATGAATATCATTGCACACCAACATGTGTTTGCCAGTACAGTTTTTATTCTCCAAGTTTTTGTATTTCTGCTGAAGCATCTTGCCAGTGGAACCAACTGACTTAAGTTTGCAACTTGTTCAGTTTTGTCCTTAAAGAGAACATAGTTTTTAATCTGTTTTGTGTTTCAAACATGCAATTAATTTGTATTTATCAGTGTTATCTTAAGGAGAAAAATTGCCTTAATGTATACCATCTGTGGTAATCCTAAGTTATGTTATTAGTGTATATTTTAAGTTTAAAATTATTACTAAAAATACATTCATCAGAATCAAATTTTGAATAAAAAAGTGTTTTTGTGTTTGCTTTAGAAGTGAATCTGTTTTTACATCATTTATTATATCTTGACTTAGCTGTCTACTTGTGTAAGAGAACCATGCAAAATAAGACAAGACTGGAGCTGGCAGACTATGAGGCTGAAAATTTAGCACGTCTCCAAAAAATGTTCTCTAGGAAGTGGGAATTTATTTTTATGCAAGCTGAAGCACAAGCTAAGTAAGTGGTTATTACTCAGCATGATGGAGGTGTGCCCTCTACTGAGTTTCCCTCCAGTTGCCTGTATTTTTATAGGCATTATGCTTGTGTGGGGATATCTGATATCTAGATGAAAGCCAATCAAAGCATAAACTATTAACATGTAACTTTATTTTGGTGCAGTTTATTTTCAAATGATCGAAGGGGAGCAAACCCATATTATTTACATTTCATTCACTGTTTCCAGTACTGTAGCTTAATAGTAATATGCATAACAGTATTGAGTTTAGATTATGAAACAACAAAAGGCAACTGAGGATTGTGAAATTAACTACAAATTTTATAACCAAGTCTAAATTCTAATATTGATGTAACATATTTTAATATAAAGTTTACTATTTTCAGGAAAGTGGAACATTAAATTTAATTTATCAAATCAGATAATAATTTGTTACCCCAATACTTTATTTATACATAAGTTAGTGTATTTGAAACATAAAGAAAACAATAGAAAATGTTGCATGAAACAGTTTTACCAAGATAATGGAGGAAAACAAAATACTGAGTGAAATGGTACTGTAATTAATGTCATCATACCTAATTATAATGATACTGTTACGACAGCAGAAGTCACGTGACATGCGTGAGTTCCTCTAATGATCAGGGAAGTCCGCGTGTGCTTGAGATGCCTCTTCGTTAGTATATAAGCCTGGCAGAGAAAGCCACCAGTGATAGAGAAAGCAGTAGTTACCTTGAGTTCCGTGTAATTTACAATTATGTTAGTTTCGAGTGAGTAAGCCATAAAGTGTGTGTTTTTGCACTGTTCGAGAGCGAAGTTATCAAGATTGTGAATCGTTGTGATTTATAGCGTGTATTATAAAAGTTGTTAGGTTTAAAGTGACGAGAAGCATTCTGATTGTGAAACCTTCCTCGATACAAACTTTTAGTACACAGTAGTTCTTTCTTGATTAAACCAGTTTATTGATTTGTATCGCTGAAGATCCTCGGAGAGAATTTCTACTGGAAACAAACAAACAAGCAGATACGTAACAAATTGGTGTCAGAGAGTGGGATGGAAAAGGGAAAAAAAACAATGGAAACGAGAAGTAACTAATTTGATGGCAGCAATATAAGAACAGCAAAAAAGAACAAGAAGAACGAGGAAAGAAACAAGAAGAGAGACAACCACAGTGGCAAGAAAACCTGCAACAGCGGCAGCTCGAACAGCAAAATAACAAGAAGAAAGACTACAGCA